GCTGAGCCTCTGCCAGACTTTGAGAGCAGAGTCATTCACGAGGTGCTCCCCTGCTCCGTACCCTTAGTTTTTCTCACTTTGCAAGTTTTGACTGGGCTAATGCTTTCAGGAAAAAAAACACCTTATTGATTAGAGTGAAGTTGTTTGCAGCAAATGGGCTTCCATTTCTTTGACTTTGTGAGGTGTTTTCCACCATTTGGTAGAGGTGCAGATAGTGTTTGTTCTAACAAAATTAGTAAATGCTGCTGGCTTCTCTGCCCTGTTTTCTCAGAGTGTTCTCACTTTGTCCACTCACCTCATTGCCTGTCTAGAGGAGACCTGTTAGGACTGAAGTATGTGGCAAGATAACCTCAGCTGCTCTGAAGAGCATTCTTCTCTTCCATTTTAGTTTGCATATTGTCTTTCATTCCAAAATTACAAAAATGGCCATCAACTCTCATCTCCACATGATATGTGTTATTTCCTAGATTTTATAGATAAAAACAAGTGGATATCCTGTTAGGATGAGCTAGAGAAAGGTCATTTTGAAGTTGTTCCTTCAACAGCAGCTAAGATGTCCCACCAAGAGTAGTCAAGTTAGAATCAGAGATTGTGATGATCATGCATCTGATCACATCAACCAAAGGAAGACTGCTTAATACAAAAAGCAATGCTATTTCTTTATTGTGTTCTCCAGTATAGTTGAAATATATTGAATAAGGATTATTTTTATAGTGTTAGCAATCCTATGAAACCACATGAAAACTGAACTGAGACTCTTCTGAGTTTGCCCTGTTGTCTTCAGAGGCAACTTAGTGAAGAGAGATTGAGAGACTTGTGCTTAGCCAGTGTTGTTACCTAATTCTCTCCCTTGTGGCTCACCAGCTCCTCTTTCCAATTCCATTTACTCCTCACAGTGTGGTCCATCAGGCGAGTTATGTGCATGTCTCTTGTGTCTCTTATGAAATGGGTGATGCTTTGTGTATTAGATTAAGGCTGTGAGCTGCTGTGCATGCTCCTAACCATCCCATTGGAGGTGCTTTTCTGAAAATTGCAAAGAGTTTATTTCCATCCCTCTTTGACACATGTCAGGCATGTTTGGAAGACACTGAGCAATTTATCCAGAAGCTTAAGCACAGAGATGTTCATGTTCATTTGCTGAAACAGCTAAGCCACCCATCATGATCTCTTAGTAGAACATGAGTTTGAGAAGTTGTGTGTATCAAGTCATAACATGATTTATTTAGACTGTAGCACCTATAGAAGATTCTTGACTCAAAGAGATTGAAGTGTAAAGAGAAAGTAGAGGTGTCTATGTCAGGGGGAACAGTTTGGGACTTTTATTTTTCTCCATATACTACAGGAGATAAGCACAGAGTCAGACCACTATTCTAGTCTGGGTTTTCAGCTACGGAAGCAAAGTAAAATGTGGCCAAAATGGTTTCTTTCTTGTGGGACTTGCAAGCTTACAGATATTCTCGAAATCACAACTATCAGATCTGAGTGCAGTGAGAATGCCAGAAAAGGACCAAATTATTAAAACAGTGGCTGTTGCGGTTACCACAGTCCATTGACTCTGTAAATTGTGTGTAGTGCCTTCCCAGCTAAAGAATTTGTATTGCTTAGGAGATTGAGAGAGTCTCTGAAGTGACTTTCAGATAAAGTTAGTGACCTTCTAACCCACATTAGCACATTTCCCTGAACTCTGGAAGTTGCTAATCTTGCTAATACAAATAGGAACTTGCAGCTTAACATTTCTCAGCAGTGTGAGTAACAAGTGGTGGGCTTCAATGATTAGCCTCCCTGGAGCCCTACTCTGGTCCTGCAGGATGTTGGTGTTATAAACCTCAGCAGTTGCTAATATGAGAACTACATACTGTGCATGAGAAAAAGAGAGTTGAAACTCTTTTTGTTTTTGAAAGAGGAATCCAGCAACTAGATTATTTTTGCTATCTTTTTTTTTTTTTTTTAGTTGCAATATGAAAGCAAGTACAGTGAGGGGAAAACAAACAAACAACAACAAAACAAACAAAAAAAAATAATGAAAAAGAGTCACCTTAGAAAATGAGCATCTACTAGTCCTGAAGATAAAAAGCAGCAGGAAATGTTGAGAAAATAACTCTTTGTAGGATGTCCAGATTTATCAACACACTTACCTGCACAGCATGAAGAAAACTAGTCCCTGCATGTGTCAGTCCTGAGTGTGGGTACATGTGCCACCATGCATGTTTGTGTAGGGGGAGAAAACACACCTTAAGGAATTTTAAAGAATAATATTATATGTGGTTACTGAAATTAGAATAAGAGAGAGAGGGCGATAAACAGCTGTCTTTTTTAACCAACACCACTGTGTGCTGTGACATTTAATGACAATGTGCACATTGGTTATGGAATGCTGGATGTGGAGCTCCTTCAGAAAAATATGAAGCAGTGACCGATTCTTTTCTAGTAGAAATTAAGAACTGCATTATACCTTAATGTGGATGTTCCTCTCTAAATCAGTTAGTTCTCTTCAGAATGCTCAATCTTTCAAATGTTTTCCTTTAATGACTTAAGTAGTTGTTTTATTCACCTTGTGATGAGTCCAACACCTGTTGGACTGTTACAAATAGAAACATTCCTTGGAGAAAACAAAATAGGGCATATAAATTAATAATAAATAATAATAAATTTAATTAAAAGGGAGTATAAGGAAAGTGATTTGCAGATAACAAAATTTAAAGAGTTATAGCTCTTTTCCATAAAAAAATACATTTTCACCCTCCTGAACTGAAGCTATTGTTAGATTCTTGGTAGGTGAGGAATGCTCAGCTGCCATAAAGAGTCTTCTGCTTACAATCATTCGTTACAGCCCCCAAAGTACCTGCCAAATATTCTGTTCCCCTTTCACAGATGATGAAACTGTGACACTGCAAAGCAGCGTGACTTGATAAATCCACATCATGTGTCTTGTTTAATATCTTAACCACTGGAAATTCTCTGCCAAAATTGGCTGTCGAAGTTATTTTCTCAGGAAAAAAAAATAAAAAAAAAATAATCTAAATTTAATATGTAAATGAAACTCAGTGAAAACCCCAGGCCTGGATGGAGCTGCAGAGGAGTGGGCAGGAGGTGTACAGCAGCATCAGTTTCCCAATGCTATTGGGTCCAGATCAAACATGTGGCACATGGAAATGCTAATGGTGTGAGGACACGGCCCTTGGACACCCTGTCCATCTTTGTATCCTGGGTCTTACAAAATATGAACCTAAAGAGTTGCTCAGTCACTTAAGGAAACAAAAAGCACAGGTCAGACCCTTCCTAGAAAATAGGAGAACAAAAATCCATTCTGTTTTCTGAATTTCCCTTTTGGCTTTTTGCATGTGAACTTTGTGGGTATAAAAGTGAGCAAAATTCTGCAAATAATGCAAACTCTTTTTTTTTTTTTTTTTTTTGCCTTTAAGGATCATCAGAATTATCATCATAGATAATTTTTTTTTTCATTGTCTAAATTCAAGCAAGACTGATAAGAAATTGCTGCAGCATAGCTCAGACCTCGACATACCAGCACTTTCTTTGACTCTGTTAAGCCTAAGGAAAAAGCTTCTGAGTAAACCATCTACCTTAGGTATTCCTGTGGTCCATATTGCTGTAGTATCTTTAATAAACTTGTTTCCATATTCTTTTTTAGTAGAGAGTGATATTATACCAATTTTACACAGTGGGAAACAGGACAGAGGTAGATAACTTGTGCAGGCTTAGAAAGCAGGCACTGGGGTCACACTTTCTCTTTTAGGGGCAAAAGCCCTTTCTCCTCCAACAGCTCAGTGAAAGCTTGAGACTCTTCCTCTTTCTTGAGTAAATAACAAAAGCAGCATGTTCAACGTCAGAGTGCTCCACCCCAGAGCCTCCAGTCACACCAGGTCAAGGGGGTCTCGTGCAGTGGGTGCACAGCATCAGGCAGGTGCTTTGTCCCCTCAGTGTCAGGGGCTACTGACACACTTCACTGTGTTGTCCAGCCTTGGCAGGCTGGGCCCAAATTGCAATAAGCCTGCACCACAGGGCTGGCTCCAGCAGAAAGGATGGCACTGCAGAGGCTGATTATGCAGATAACATCAGTCAAAGCTGATGGATACTTAAAAGTCTGAGTTGGTTTAATTATTCTGTAACCAGCAGAAAGATATCACTGGGTACTGTGTCTTGCTAGAAAGCAGCACCTCTTGCAAGATATATACACTTTAATATAAATGTAGATTGTGTTTTGTTTGTATCTTAGCAAGCCCTCTTCTTGGTGTCTACCTTAGCGGTCCCTTTCTCTCTTTCAGTACTCAGCCATCAACATTTTTCACAGTCCTCTTATACCCGTATTTTTATTTTCCCCTCAGCACCTTTATGTTTTTTACTTAAGGGCCAGTTACAGCCTTACACAATTGCAGACAAGGGTGTTGACTTCCCTGGGTTTCAAATTTAACCTGTGCTGGAGATCATCCCCTCCTCTGGACAGCACTAAATTTTTCCTGCCAGAGATAACTAGTCCTTGGGGCTCATAGCTGTACTTTTGAAGAGAGAAATGTTTTGCCTTTGGAATGGAATAGATTGCACTGTTCCACAGGTAATTTCAAAACATTTTCAAGCAAAACATCCCCTTGGGTCCATCTCAAAGCCTTCGTGGTGTAAGGACACAAGGCAGCATATCATGCTATCAATACACTTCTGTCATTTTTCCAGGGCACAAAGCTGTGAGGCTCGCTGGTGACACAGCCTGCCTGACCTGCAGCTTCAAGAGATCATTGTTGAAGTGGAAAAGCCAGAGGAAGGGTCTTTCTCCAGTTTTCCATGTAACTCCATAATTCAGGGAATTTATCACAGACCAACATGGAAATCTCTATGTTTGCCTCATTCAGAAATACGTTCTGCCATCTGAGCATTGGCTCTGTGAGCAGCACATGAAGCTGGCTGAATAGATTTATCTAGAGAGAGAGAAGTGCTTTGCTGTAGTGCTGTCTGTACTAATGTATATTCTTCTGCTTTCCATCAAACAGTCAATGAAGGCTCAGGTGAAACCAATCAAAAAGAGACATCGACCTGTGACATTTGCCAGTTTGGGGCAGAGTGTGACGAAGATGCAGAGGATGTTTGGTACAGTAATTTGGTCTACTCTTCTACTTTAATGAATGTTTTATTATTTAATGGTACTGTGGTTTAGAAAGCACTAACAATATTAGATACTCAATTTTCTGCACCCAGAGATTCATCACACAGGGATTGAGGTGGTTATTACTCTGAAAAAAATGTATAAACCAGTTTGGTTTATAATTTTGGAATATGCACAATTTAGACAGTCTAGGAACACAGTTACCCATTTTGTTGCTGTTACAACTTATGCTATTCCGTCTGTAGTTTTAAAGGTTTATACTTTGGTAAAAAATAGAATTAGGAAAAATAATTGACCTAAAGCTTTTCTGGTTAAAAAGTATTAACATCATGTTAATTCATGTGTGGCATTAGAAACACTGGGAAATCTGCCTTGATTTTTCCTAGTTGCTGAAGACCCAACCCTCAAATGTTTTAAATAATTAGAGTCTGCATTTAGACATTTTCTCAATGGAAAAAAATTTATTTTTTAGTTTTTAAAAGGGTTTTGAAAATATTTATCTCTTAATCATTATTATTTTAAACCTTAGCCACATAAGCTGAAGGGAAATAATTCTATATGCTCAGGAAGTTTTATTTTTAATTTTTTGTTTTGCCTAGAAACTATACAAACATATGTTAAGTCAACTTAAAACTAATAATTTCATTGTGACTTTGGAACAGCCAATAGATCAAAAAAGCCACTATTCACAGAACTATTCTAACACTGCCTTAATGCCAAACCTCATATTTCTACCTAACAAATTAATACAAATTTAGAAAGACAACAAGATACTCATGTAAATGGTAGAACTGTTGTCTGGATGGTGCTTCTGAAACTATGGGCTGGTGGTCGCTAAAGGGTGGATTCAGAGACTGGGCAGTGAGATGTCAATAAAGCAGTATTGCCCAATTCTAACTTTTGAACAGTTGGAATGGAGCCAAGAGAGGAGTCAATGAATTAATGAACTAACAAATATATTAATGTTGAACATGAGAATTGGGTCTAGTGTTGGGCAGCTGACCTCATCCAGGCAAGGCATCCATGCACTATTGGTCAGGCATTAAATTATGAACATTTCTGCTATTCAGTGGAGAAGCTTAGGAATATATTCATCCTTTTTTGCTCATTTTGGTTTTGTCTTGCCAGGCTTTTAATAACCTCTGGTTCTAGTCTTTGAAAAACACCAAATGAACAAACCACTGAGGCCTTGCTCTGGCTCCAGTCAAAAAAAGAAATGGTGTTATTGAAAAACAGGAGCAATACATATAATGGTTATAGGTTCACAACAATGTAATGAGATTTGTGTGGAAGAAATTGCTTAATTTTGACTCTGCTTAAGGAAATTACCCAAGGTGTCAGGATTTTCATTGTCTCCTTGACTGGTTTTCCTTTGAGAGTTTTGATGGTGCGGTGTAAAAGCAAAACCATGGTAAAATTAATATATCAAAATTCACAGTCTAGTGCTCATGTTTTCATAATTAAGTGCAGTTCCAAATTGGAAAGCAGGAGAAGAGAGGGGCAAGGAATAAAATTAGCTACAAGATAACATTATTAATCATAAGCCCTGAGTAGCAGTTGTTTGTTGTTTTTTTTTCCAGAAATAGCTCCATAAAGTAGCCTGATTCAGCTTTCCTTTGTAATGTTCCCTCTACAGCTTTTGTGCTATGTAATTTCCACACACACACACACACCCAGCTCTTGGAAACAACTTGGCTTATACAGAGCAGTGTAATGACTGCAGGAGCTGAAGTTCCCAGTCTTTATTGACAGTTTTTCTGCAGGGGAAGGCACTTCTTGAG